TTTGGGAGCATTCTGCCCCAAAGGATAAGGGGATTGCTGAGCCAAGGCCTGGGCCTGGGGAGAGGAGAACAGCTCTGAGAGCTGGGAAGGCCCAGTGAGACCTGGTGAAGATAGACCAGGTCTATTCCACGTGAACACACACCTGGACTTTCGAATAGATGAACTGAATTAAACAGGATGCCAGGGCCAAGGGCTCGGGAAGCAGTCGTGGCTGACCAGATAAGTCCTGGTTTCTGGATTGAGGGAGACTAAGAAAACTGCTAGCTTCTCTACAAAAATCTGAGGTTAAAAATCTGAAGATTATTATCATAAGACTCATTGAATGACCCTTGGTAACAGATTTCTAGCTAAAATGCTAAACACCAGGTAGCAATTGGTAGCATGCAATCCCTCTCAGGTAAGGCAGCATTTAAACCAAATAAACATCTGAGGTCACCCAGGAACCTATCTCCTACAGAAGACCCCAAAGAAATAGAGGATACATTTTCCCCTCCAACAAGCTTATAACCGTATTAGGGAGCTAAGACAGCAGATGTAAATATAAGAAAGGATATAGAAGATGCTTACTGAAATCCAAGGAGAAATATCATTCAAACAGGAAGCAGGAAAGAGAAACGTGATATCTCTGGTAACTGGACCTCATCAGAGGGCACCTCCTGACAGTGTGCTCTGTTCCCCCCCAGGGCTGGTTGAACCCCAGCACACAGCCGCTGTGGGCCATCACTTAACAGAGCTGGTGTCAGAGAACAAGGACATCCAGGTCTTCTGTTAATGGGAGAGAAAGAACATGATGTACATAAAGGAAACAGAACCAAGACAACTGAATCAGCAGTATCAGGAGACATTTTCTAATGGGATTTATATGGGCTAAAGGGGAAAGAAAGGGGAACGCTGGCAGGTCTCCATGAGAGGGGTGACAAAGAAGGCAGAACTAAGTAAGGCTTGGGGACCTGAGGAAGAACTGGAGCTCCAAGCCCACTCAGGGAAATGAAATAAAAACCATTCTTAGCAAGTAAATAAGAACAAATCAACCAAAAGTCTGTCCACGTCCCTGCCCTCCCGTCTCCTGAGTCTCCATCAAGGAGAGAGCCAGCACTAACAGACTGAGAAGGACTTGGGGACAGCAAGCTGCAGGAAGGTAGTCTCCTCTGGGTTAAGGGACGACTGGACAAGAGAGACAGATTCCACAGTCTTACTGCCAAGTGCCTCTTAAGGAGAGGGTGGGCTACTGTGAAGGGGACTTAGCAGATCTGGGTGTTTTCATATCTGATGTTCAAGCTTTTGCCATGTGGGCCGTGCACTATGTTCAAGTTTGCCAATCTCTGCAAGCAGAATAAACATGAAGCACCTCAGTAATTCTACTCTGAACTTGAGACAAACGTTCTCCTTGTCCCACTTTGGCTGAACGAACTTCCAAGACCTATGCCAAAGCATTTATCGTAAAAGAAAACTTCTCAAATGTGGCAAAATGAGCTTGGGGAGAATGATTTGATGGCATCTGGCTTTATCTTTTTTTTTTTTTTTTTTTTACAGATCTTATTTATTTATTTGACAGAGAGAGAGATCACAAGTAAGCAAAGAGGCAGGCAGAGAGCAAGCGGGAAGCAGGCTCCCTGCTGAGCAGAGAGCCAGATGAGGGACTCGATCCCAGGACCCCAAGACCCTGACCTGAGCCGAAGGCAGAGGCTTAACCCACTGAGCCACCCAGGCACCCCTGGGTTTACCTTTAATGACAGTGAGAGAGACAGGAGATTTAAACACTATGATTTAACAGTGAGTTGGCCTAGTTGCTATTTAACAAAAGAACTACTTGACAAATCCAAACCCATCTCAGACTTCCATGTGTGGTATCTATTCCTGCATGATCCTAAATTCTCGCTGTGTCTCTGAAGCATAGGACAGGACCCAGCTACCATGGCTCACCTCCTGGTCATCGGTACCCCAAAAGTATTCAATCTCCTGTTCTTTTACATCACGTGTCTTTGAAAAACACATTTTTTCCGCTTCCCTGAAGGAACTGTACTGAATAGTCATCCAACTAAAATCCTGTTATAAAATAAGTATAAAGTGCTGGAGAGAATCATTACAAAAAAGGACAGAATGAATAATTTTCATTTAAGAAGTCATTACTTTCCATCTTTACAGAGAAAGATAGAACGATCACTGTAATGCCCCACTTTAAAGGGTCACAAATCATTACAAAAATGAGTAAGAGGTAGTAAGTACCATCTGCATTAATGGGGCTTATGATTTTATAAAAGGTGAAACTTGTTATTTATGAGTTCTTCAATATACGGTTTCTCTTTATGAAACTATTGGAAGAAATAAAATGATTATTATTTTTGGAAAAGGCCATAGACTGAGGTTCAGATTATGCCTTTTCTATTACTTCTGACAAGTTGTTAAAATTCATATTCCCTGCAGCAATTTATCGACTGCTTTGGCAGAATATGCTGTAAAAGGGAAATTACAAAAGAATGTGAATTTCTGTATTAGAAAAGAGAAAGGGAGATCTATTATTAGAGGGTCTAGATAATATGAAAGATAAAAGGCTGAAACAAACGGCTCATTCTTTTTCTCATTATTTAGAATAAAATACCATAATTACTTTTCTTATTTCCAAAGAAACTCCCTGCACTAATTCCATCACTGTCAACCCACACGGGAGATGAAGTTAAACCGAAATTAATACTAAACAGACATATATGTTACCCAAGCAAAGCAGTGTCTACTATTTCAATGCCTTCATCCTTTTTCTTAGTAACAGAGCACACTTCATTCTCACTCCTTCACAAATATAATTTAGAAGACATTAGCATACAATGAAACGATGTAAGAGTTACGGCTAATGTTTACTGAGCACTCAATATTTGGCATGCACTGATCTAAACACAGATTATCTAAAAAAAATAAACTGAATCTTGACAGATAATCCAATAGGGTATTAATAAATATTTCCATTTTACATATAAATAAGGAAACTGAGGCTTAGCAAAATGAAGTGGCCACATTGCTATTAGGTGGTAAAATCAGATGACATGACAAATGAAGTATTTGAGAGTAACCATAATTAGAGACAAGAACGCTTTTCCTCCCGGGCTAGAATATGTTCTTGGTTAGATTCTATGGATAGGTCTGGTCTAGTCCCACTGCATAGAATTAGCTGAAGACTTTACAATTATAGTGGCTGTATCCCTTAATCATTACAAATAATTGTTACATATGCCTTACAGTTTAAGGTAGGTTTATGCACACAGATAAACACAAAATGAGACCCAAGAGTCAAATGGATTGTGGAGGTAAGAAACAAGTGTGTTGTGGGAAGATACTTAGTTTTACAAAAATCTGAAAGATGGCAGTGATTCCCAATGGAGGCACCCCTGTCACTTCCGTGTGTGCACGTGGGCACGTGTACGTATGTGTATCTCTTGCAGGAAATGTGCACACACAAGCATTTATACAGGGGACAGTTCATTCTCTGTTGTACAATGCTGTCCCATGTGTCATAACACATCTAGCGTCCTTAATCCCCACCCACGAAATTCCAGAAGTTCCAATGCTTGGGACCACTCAGTATACTTCTACACATTTTCTGCTGACCTGGAACGAGATTGATTGCTGGATAAAAACACGGAGAGAAGTAACTGACATTAATTGTGCATTGTGAATGAGGTACTCTGCTAAGTGCATTCACACATATGCATTTATTACTCACAAACCCGTATGAGGTAAGTACATATTTTATCTCCATTTTACAAGGGCGGATCCTGAGGCTCAGAGAAAGGGGAAGGAACTCAACCATGGGCAAACAGACATTTGAAGCCAACAGTCTGGCTCCAAAACTACACCTCTCTGGGTTAATCTTTTAAGCAAGAGTGTGGTAGGCATGTCTTTCCTTTAAAGAAATTTATTCAGGAAAAAAAAAAAAGAATCCTTGTTAGTAGGGCCCATGGTGTGCACGTCATTCTGAACCGGGGGGGAAATATTTCCCTGGGTTGGGGGTGAGGGGCCACATGTTCAGTGACTAGTTATATGATGTAGGTATCAAGAGTTGGGTTGGATAGTTTCTATGCACAGTATATATCAGAAGAGCTTTGAGCAAGTGTGAGTGTGTGTGTGTGTTCAGGGAGAAAAGAGAGTTGTGCTATGCTGAGGTTTATGTGTTTTATTTATCACTTCCACAGCATATACTATGCACCAGGCACCGCTACAATTGCTTGACAATATCTCATTGTGCAGCAGTGTGCAGAAGATGTGGTAGGTAGCTGTGTTGGAAGAGAAAGGATCAGCTTTGACATCTACCTACATCATTTGTGTTGTGGTCCTGTTTGAGGCTAGGGGACGGGTCATGCTAGGTGGTTTGTGTGCCACGCATACCAGAGGGGCTGCAGGGGAAAGACTGTGTAGTGCAACTCACATGTGCATTTTGGGCATGGCCGGCAGTGAATACTGAAGGAGATCCACAGGAAGGGTGCTGGTTGTGGCCTGGGCCTGTGTAGGGTGCGTGGAAACGCCGTGGACCGGGGTGCTTTCAGAGTGTAGCGGTCTGTGCTGAAAGTGGTGCATAGGAGATGATTCATACGGTGTGCTCGGTAGGGATGAGGGCTGGAGAGGAGGGGGCCGCGTCGTGATGTGTTTGGGGAGCGACGCTCAGTAGGACAGGATAGGTGAGCATCGCGCTAGCTGACCCTCGAGTGCTCCTGGTGTGGCCCGAATCGCTGTATGGGAGGAGGTACCACAAGGCGGGGGTTGAGGGTGGGGGTTGGAGGGTAGGGGCGAATGCCAGTCTCGAAGAGCTCTAGGGCAGGAAGCTAGGTGTGCTGTGAGACACCGCGCGGGTGGAGGAGCTGATGGGCGGTGGGTCTGCGAGTGTGTGCGTGGAACAGCCAGCCCGATTCCTCATCCAGAGCTCCACCGGCCCACGCTCCTCACCACCGCCTCCCGCCAGCCCCTTCCCTTCGCCCAAGGGCGCTCCCTCCACGCGGCCCGGCCCGTCTCACCGGGTGAAGGCGAAGTACATGAGGCTGACGATGGTGAAGCTGAGCAGGGTGATGGTGTGCGGCCGGTAGAAGAAGTCGATGGTGATGTCCTCCACTTGCTGCTCGTTGATCATCCGGAAATGCATCTTGTAGTTCACATCATCTTTGCTCAGGGTCCGACTCCCCACGCAGGACGCCATGGCCCGCCTCCCCGTCCTGCGGCGGCGGCGGCGGTCCCGGCCCGTGGAGGCTGGGACCCCGGAGGTGATGAGCAGCTGCGGTCGAGCGGCCGGACGGCGGGGCCGGATCTGGCGCCGAGCACAAGCTGGAAGCCGAGGGAAGGACCGGCGCGGGAGGGCGGGGTCGCGGCGCCGCTAACGCGGCCTCGGGCGGAGGGGGGGCGCCGCCGACCTTGCCGCCGCGGGTCTTCCGGGAGCCGCATCTCTGCGGATTCGCATCTCTGCGGATTCGCGGTGTCTTCACATTCCCGGTGGACGAGGTCTAAGGGAAGCAGCATGGGGCAGAAGAGAAGCTGTGACCCCTAGCCGGCTCCCTCCCCTCCGCACGCCGCCCGCTCTCCCCCCGTGCAGTCTCGCAGATGGTCTCGCCCACTCCGGCCGCAGTCCACGTGGGCGAGGGAGCGAGGCGGCGCCGGCCGGCACGCGTGAGACGCTGCGGGACTGTCCGCCGGGCCGGGCCAGCTTGGCAGCCACCCCCAAACAAACCGAGAGCGTGGGCCTCGCCACAGGTAAAGCGGAGCCGCGGGAGCACGCGGGGCGCGCTCCCGGTGGGGGTCGGGTCCGGACCCACCCGCGTCCAGGCCGCGACCAGGACCTCATGGCCCTTGGGTCTCCGCGGCCCAGTCGGGAGCGATTAATTTAGTTTTGTTGTTTTTTTCCCTAGCCGACGAGACGAAAACGCAACCATGCTTATTTGTTAGCGCTTCTTGCGAAGGACGCGGAAGGAAGCCTAGAGTGTCAGCCGGCTTCCTGCGGAAGTTCGCTGTGGGGACTTGTTAGAATGGCCTAGGAGGCATTCACCAGCGGCCCCTGATTACGGAGCCATCTTCACATCCACCCCTCCCCCCATCTCTTGACTTCACTTACCAGCCATACAGAGGTAGAAATATTGAACTCTGGAAAAACAGGACTTAAGTGACAGTTCCTATACCTAGCGAAGGACTAGAGCAAGAACCTACTATATGATGTTTTAATGGACTTGACAGGTCCTTTAGGACTTTTTTCTTTAATCTTCCTGATGGAACCGTGTTAGATTTACTCTGACCACTACGCAGGGCTTTTGTGCACGTCTGCAAATGCCTTACCCGCTTTTGAATACTGAGTAGACAAATGATTTAATCATAGTTGCAACTGATTCATTTCCATCCAACAGACTTTGGAGCAGTGCAAATCCCTGGGCTAATGGGGAATAGTCCCCTGGGAGGGTGGGTCCGGAGATAGGACCCAGGCCTGCTCCCGTGAACGAACAATTCATCAATTGTTAAGAGGCATATACAGCAATGAAATGATGATGTAGGGAGGAGACTGCCCTTGTAAATGCAAACAGGATAAACATTAGTTGAATGCAGAAAGGTCTTTTAATGAATATGGCAGAATTCAAAAGTTAATTTCCGCTATATGATAGGAAAAGTATTAATTTGAGTGTGGAAAGGCTTCACAGTGAATGTGGGATTTCAGAAGTTTGCTTTGAAGTAGGATGCAATGCCTAGACAAACTTGAAGTCAAAATATTTTTAAAGCTGATAGGGACCTTAAGAGTCATATTATTGTATCCATAACCTTTTCAAAAAATTGTTATTTAAAGAATAGTTATTGAACCCCCATCATGGGCCAGTTTGCCCGCCACCACAAGAAATAGTCTTGTCAACTAGTACAACTGAGGTCTTCTAGCTTCCAGTTTGGTCTCTTACAACTTTGTGTAGAGAATGAATGTTACAGGTTTGGGGGGAAACCTGACTGATTTGGCAGGTCATTTCCTACCAGAATTTAACAAAAAGCACCTATCCCACAAGGCTGTTGTGCATACCTATTTCCTTTCTGAAATCATTTCAGAATGACAATGAGACTTTCACTTTTATAAACTCTTTCAGGAGGCTTCCCTAAACTACAGATCTCTGGGAGGAGGTTAAACCTTGAATATCCGGTCTAATTCTGAGCATAAAACAAGCTGAATTCCAGTCTGTAGAAAAACAAATCAAAAAGTTGTATGTTACAACTAATTCAGCAGAATTCATTTATATATGGATATCTAATCAATAATACTAATAATGGCTAACATTTCTGGAGGATTTTCTATATGCTGGATTCCATGCTCTGTGTTTTATGGATTATCTTATTTAACATAAAATTATATGCATCAAATCTAATCTTGTAATTAAGCTGTGTAAATAAAAAGTTTCTTCATAATCTTGGCGCTTAAAGTATTAACAGCCTTTTCTTATAAAAATCTTTTTAAAAACAATTGCATTTTTGGTCAAAATATTCATGTATTCTTTCCTGGTTGCTTATGTATTTCTGTGCTAGTTTTGACCTTTTGTTTTTGAAGGCCTTTTCTTTTTCTTTTTTTCTACAGGCAAAAAACAGAATTTGGCAGAATTGGTTTTGTTCAATTCCCTTTTGAGGATCAGCTTTATTCAAAATAATCAACAGTGTTCAGCCCTGAGGATTAACCAAGAAACAATCTTCCAGATTAACAGTGACAATAATATTTAGGATAGTGATAATTCACTTAGGACAAAGTTTTTTATTTTGTGAGTAATGCATAGACATAAAATTCATTTGCATAATTCAGTGTCTTGATCAACAGTTTGCTTCTTAAATGTCCTACAAACCAAACTTCAAGAACACTTAATTGCAACAACTTATTTCCTTTAAATATTAAACTAACAGAGATGATTGGGTTCAGCTGTAATTTAAACATTAACAGATTTTTGTTTTAAATGGTTTTCTTATACCATTGGTTTTGCTTTTTTTCTCGTTGTAAATTATCTTTATTTTTCCAGTTCAAAAGTTCCCGTCCTTTGGTTTGTAACTGGGATTGCCTTGTTTTTGGCTTTTCCTGTGGTTAAGTAACATGGGACTACTCCAGTCATCTAAGTCTATTAAACATCTTTGAATTAGAAAAAAAGATTTTCCAGTTTATTATTTTGTTGTTTGAATACTGTTCTAAACATTTAAGTCAAATAACTTTCTCTTTTTTGATATTTCCTTTGTAGGCTACTTTAAGAAAAATGGCGTTGTCAGCCCAACAGATACCCAGATGGTTCAATTCAGTTAAATTGAGTAGCTTCATTACAGCTACACAACTTCAAAAACATTTTCCGAGACCAGGAAAAACACTGTTGCATGGCTTTTCTGCTCAGCCACAGATGTCTTCTGACAATTACTTTGTCCAGTGGGGATTCAAGACGTACAGGACTTCCTCCTTATGGAATAGTTCCCAGTCTACCAACTCAAGTAGGCAAGAGATTGGTTCTGCCCAAGGTACTCTGCTTCCTTCCATGAATGAACAGACACAGAAGACAGAAAACATACCCAGTTTTGATTCTGAGCTGTCTCTGGAAGGTAATTCTGGACTTCTAGAAGAGTCCCTCTTGCCTCACTTTGGTAGTTTGAGCAGGTCAATGGTTGATAGTCTGTTAGCCCATTTCAAGTCATACTTTGTACCAAGTAAGAAAAAGAACAATGTCCGTTCTATTCATTTACTTACCTGACTGAGAAAAAAAGGTTTGTAGATTACTATATAAAATACTGTGTTCTAGATACGTATGTAATAGTTGCTTTCTAAATACTTTATTATTTAAATTATTTATAAAAAATTTTTCAGGTGGTAATTAGGTTTACTAGGGTATAATTTATCCTAATACGATATTCCTGATTAGGATATAATTTTATCCAAGTAAAATTCGTCAGTTTTGAGTGTACAGCTTATGAATTTTGACAAACGCATCTAGTAGTGTAACAGCCTCCACAACTTATAACCCAAAAGAACACAAATAGAGCACCCCAAAAAGCTCCTTTGTCACTTTTTAGTCAGTCATCTCTCTCCTATGCTTCCTATTCTAGGAATATTCCCATGCAGGGAATATTTTACTGCAATGAGATAATATTAGGTTAAGTAGAATATAAAAGACAGCAGGGTGAAGGGGGGCAGGGAGGAAAGACTGGCTCTAAGAAATAAGAAAGGCTAGTGATTAGAAGCAAAAAATAGAACAACAAAAAAATCATAGTCTTGATTCTTTAGCTCAAGGTAGGTTACAGTTTCCAGTGTCTCCCATACCACATCTGGTTTAAACAAAACAAAATCTCAGATTCAAGGCCCTGCTAGAGAGGGGCATGTCCACAGCGAAGGACTACAGGTGGTAGAAAGAGAATCATAGAAGTCCTTTTAAAGCGTACTTGAGAATGACTTGGAGGAGAGGGGATTGTATCAAAAGACATTTCAGGATATAATGACTCTAACTCATACAAACAAATCAGGCTGGTAGAATATGTTGTACTTTGGGCCAGTTTAACAGGGTGGGGTAGAATCTATCTCAAAATGTATTTGAAGGTCAGTTGATCTTTTTAGAGTTCTTACCTGTTGATTAAAAGTGAATTAAAGGAAAGGAATTTAGTGAATTCTTTATGAACAGAAACGTACCAACAGATAGGTTATCTTGGAGGAACAGTTTCTCTAAACAGTCTTAGCCTTACCTCTCTGAAGGCAGAAAATATGTGAACTTCTCAGATACTTAGTTCTGCAGTGATCCCAGGCCTTAAAAAGAAGCAAACTAGGCAAGAGGTTTAGCATTGGGCATACAGACTGGAGAGCTGACTGCCTGTCTTTCTACATGGCCGGTGTGGAAGCACTGGACGACCTGCCTCCAGTGTCTCCGTTACAGCCGGTTTCTGAGGAGGAGGCCGTTCAGATTATTGCAGACCCGGCGCTGCCCCCAGACACGTACACACTCCGAGACTACGTGGATCATTCTGAGACTCTGCAGAAATTAGTGCTGCTAGGTAAGTCTCAGTAACCTACAAGGACTTCTTGAGGGTATCCCTCATTCGCTTTTTTGCCTCGCTTTGTTCAAATCAGCATTTCTAAACTTTTATCAAGATGAACAGAAGTCAAATAGTGTGAAAAGGCTTCTAGTGAAAAACCGTACTTCATCCTTCCTGACCTTCATGCTATTGCCCAGAGGTATCTACTTAACTTTTACAGCTCTTTCTCTTTGCAGTTAATCTCTGTTTATGTAACTGTTTATAGTGCTGTTGCTTGGTTCATCAGTTTTAGACATTGGTTGATCTCGTGTATGTACACATATACTTTCCCCCTATCCGGTTCGCCCAGTATAGCGATGGTAAAAATTTTTAGACGAATCCTCAGTCAGCAATGATATTAGGATTGTAAATATTGCTTGTTGCTCTCTGGGATTGTTTTCCTTCCTGTACAACTTTTCATTTTTCCACAGTTGTTAATAGTTCTTGTTTTTCCTTTGGTTAGTTTTCTTTATTTCTAGGGCCAAATTTTCCCACATCTTCCAGTAGCCTGTCAGGACAGTGTTTCCTGCAACAAACCTTGCCAGATGAGGAATTCCTTCCTTTTCGCTACCACCTGCCACCCTTCCTCCTGGAGCCCACCATCCCCCTAATGTAGATGGTTTCTATCTAGGCCTGCTCCATAACTATTTTAGCTTGTTGGCTGGGAGCATGCACTTGGGTCTGGATAGTTGAAGACAGCCAAGGGATCTCACTGTAGACTTTTTACTTAGTCCTGTCCTGTTCAGCCCAATACCTCATTGCAGCCATCTGCTTCTCTCATCCCTGGGTCTGGCACATCTCTGACTTCATTTTCCCAGATGATAAACATCCTTTCTCCCAGGGGATTGAGAGGAAGAGGGTAGGTGAGGGATTCTTTCTCAAATTCATCTGCTTCTCTCATTCTCCACTCACGGCTGTACTTTAGGCTCTCATTTTTCACTGGAAGGTTAGGAGTGTCCTAACTTGATAGTCGTTTTATCAGCAGTTTTGCCTTGATGATCTCTCAAATACCAGTTCTCTTTCTAAAATGCCGATCTGACTATGTCAGTGACCTGCTGGAAATCCTTCAAAAGCTTCCCGGGATGTCAGAGCTCTGCCTAGTCTGGTCCCTGCTTACCTTTTCAGCTCTGCTGCTTGCCCCTTCCCTCCTTCAGTTTGGCCAGCTCTGACAACTGGAAAACTTGGTTCAAGTAACTTCTAAAATGTCTCCGGTGACCCTCCTCTAGACCCTCACAATCACCACAGCTTAGTTCCATTCTAGCACTAATAACAACATTACAGTTGTCTACTTCCCTGTTCCTGTGCAAGTTACCCAAATGTGCAGGGAATGGCCTTTGTTCTCAAGAAGCTTCAAGTCTTCAGAAGCATCTAAATACACACTTTTAAGAATAGATGGTCTGCAGGGATGAAAGGGAAAGTGAGAAGTGCTACATAGGACATCCAAATAAGTGTTCCGTGGCTTCAGAGAGGAGAGAAAGATGATGTCTGCTACAAAGAGGAGAGCCAGTCACCTTCCTTCTGGAACAGCTTTGCCAGCCTTACGATAGGTGCCATGGCAAATACAAGATAAACAGAAGACATGGCCCCTGCCTTTAAGTAAGTTACAGCATACTTAAGAGTTCGGGGATATATGTTTCAGCCATTCCTTCTTTGTATGTTGATAAGTCAGCAGCACATCTTGGAAGTAACTTAAATGACAGGACCGTGGAGGAGCCTGATTGTCTTGTCAGATAGTGTTTTTGAGGATCCACGTGTCCCGATGCCTGTCTGCTTCTCAGCTCTATTTTCCGCCTTTCTCTGCCTGTTCTCTCTCCCAGGAGGCCACCCTCCATGCACTAGAGCTCCTTTGCCAGCTGGCTCCTGGGCAGCTTCAGCCAGTGGGAGGCACTTGCGGGAGGAGAGGGAAGGCAGGTGGGAGTTTATTTTTTTCCCTGTTCCCTCCCTGCATTGGGTCCTGTAACTGCCTCGCTCCATGACAACGGCTCCTACCGAGCATCCCTTCTTAATAGCTTGCGGTTCCCTCTGGGTCCGGGTAATACTTTTTGCTCCTTGTCTGTTTAGCACTAGGGGAGCCCTTGTTCACGCTGTCACACTACTGTGTAAAGTCCCTTCATTAAAGTTCTTTTGGTTCGCACTTTCTAGGGCACAGTCTGCTGCCTGCCAGACCTTGACGGAAATATGTGTAACCATAACTGAATACAGTGGTAATCATCGTAGTTACTGAAGGGATGAAAGCAACTCAGACGGCGTTCACCCAGAAGTTAGAGGCGTGGATTACTCATTTTTTATATCCCCAGAGCCTAGCAGAAGTGCCTGGTCCGTACTGGGAATTCGGGGACTCTTTTTTTCAAGTTAAAGAAATCTTGAGTAAGCCCAAGTGATTTGTGCTGGCAGCGGTGTGCTCTCCTGATGAGATTCTGCTCTCCGATAGCTGTTAAAAAGGCAGCTTTTCAGAATTTCTGTTTGAGCGCAGTTGGGGTGTGACGGCTCATGCCGAGCAGGGCACTGCAGCACATGTCAACTTAACAGGAAGTGAAATTCCAAGTCCGGACCCTGTGTGTTATTTTTAAAGCACTCCTTCCCACATTTATCACAGAGATTGGGAAATAGTTTCTGTCTGATTTATGTATCTATCCATCAAGGACTATAAGAGAAGGAACACTCACCTTCTCTACATACCCATTTCCACCTTCCAGAGGTAACCCTATCACCAGTTTGTTGAATAGCTTTCCCTACCTTTTTCTGTGCAAATACACTTACTACAGAAAGCCATACATGGTTTTTACGTTTGTATGCAGTCAAGCTTAATAATTGACAAACAGTTCTCTTCTAGTAGTTTTGGAGTTAGTACACATTTAGAAGCTTTACCTTCTGAAATTTTGTTTCAGATATAGAAGGAATTTTTTTTATTTAAGTAAAATTGACATATGTTATATGGTTTCAGATACACAACATAGTGATTCAGTAGTTCTGTACATTACATCATGCTCACCATGATAAGCATAGTAATTGAAACAATTATTTTTCAAATGTATAGCTAGTGGACCTCTTATATTGCAATGAATGTGTATCTTTTCACCATTAATTTGAAATGCCATTATTATTATATGCTAATTTTTTATTTTATTCATTTAGTTGATCCTGGATCTGTTTCTGGTCTTCATTCTGTGTCTTTGTGTAATCTGGTTTTATAGTCGTAATCATCTTAAATCAGTACCTGTTTAATATCAAGAAATTTGGGTTTATGGGGCGCCTGGGTGGCTCAATGGGTTAAAGCCTCTGCCTTCGGCTCAGGTCATGATCCCAGGGTCCTGGGATCGAGCCCCATGTCAGGCTCTCTGCCTAGAAGGGAGCCTGTTTCCTCCTCTCTCTCTGCCTGCCTCTCTGCCTACTTGTGATCTCTGTCCAATAAGTAAATAAAATCTTAAAAAAAGAAAAGGAATTTGGGTTTAGAATTATGTTTTGATTGTTTTGATAATAATAGATGGATATAGTAATGTAAGAAATTATAATTTACTTTTCTCGTTGTGTATACCATTAAAGAAAGAATGTTTTATTTAATTGTTTTTATACTGAAGACTTGAAAGCTGCATCTGGAAATCAGTTTGAGAGTTATTTTTCACCTGAAGAAATATTTTTAGGAATATAAAATTTAAGTCTAACCTTTAGGTATTAGATTATCTTCAAATGTTTACTCTAAAGGTAACGCCTTTCCTGTTCATGGTTATTTTTTTTAATCAGATGAAAGGGGGAAAAGTGAGAGAATAAAACACTCAGTTTTGGGGCACCTGGGTGGCTCAGTTGGTTAAGCAACTGCCTTCGGCTCAGGTCATGATCCTGGCGTTGTGGGATCAAGTCCCGCATCAGGCTTCCTGCTCGGCAGGGAGTTTGCTTCTCCCCCTGACCTCTCCCTTCTCATGCTCACTTTCTCATTCTCTCTCTCTCAAATAAATAAATAAAATATATTTTTTTAAAAACTCAGTTTTAATGAATTTTGAATTACAGTTACTTTGATTCCCTGCCTAATTAACATTGCCATCTAATTACATCCATAACCAGGAATACTTTAACAACTTGCTTTCTCCCTCTTTCTTTCTCCTGTGCCTTGTCTCACTTACTTAGACTTCCTAAGATTACAAGACTATCTGAAGGTCAAAGTTTCTATACTTTCTGCTTTGTTGTCTATCTGAGGGCTGTGTAGGCTCACCTGTTCTCATACACACATTTCTTGAGGTCCTTCAAGGTACTTGTCTCCATGCTGAAAACCTGGAGATTACAATGAGTGAGACAGAGGGTTATTTTTATTTCCCCACCCGGAGGCGATCATAAACACATTTTGAAAATAATGCTTATAACTAAGGAAATGACAAACGTCAAAGAAAGTAACAATTTATTTAAAGGGGTTTTTTACACTGTAGAATTACCCGTTAAGCAATTACTGTGGAGATCCCTTGGAGCTCATAAGCATCCTTCAAACAATATTCAAGAAACCATAGATAAAAATGATGATCCTAGCCAGGTCAGTATGACTTGGTGAATTTGTTTTGGGCAGAAGTTTAGCCCCAAATGAATTGTTTTCCTCTATATGTGACTTTGACAGAAGTACTATGTTTTCATTTTAATTTAATTTTATTTCGGCAACTAGTTTAGTTTAAATAGGTTTAGAAGTTTCTGTTGGCCTATCTCAGTTCTCTTTTGGACAGGTTGTTGATCTTCACCAGTAAATCCTTGTATTTTTATGTATGAAGTTTAATGAGCTATCTAAATAGTTATCTTCAAGCACTGTTTGTAATTTATTATAGGAGTGGATCTCTCAAAGATAGAAAAACATCCTGATGCAGCCAACCTCCTTCTGAGACTGGATTTTGAAAAAGACATTAAGCAAATACTTATGTTTCTTAAGGATTTGGGTATAGAGGATAACCAGCTGGGAACATACCTGACTAAAAACTATGCTATTTTCTCTGAAGACCTTGAAAATCTTAAGACCAGGTAGGACTTTTACAGTGGTTTCCACATAACCCAAGAAGTGGTTATGAAGGAAACATATGTGTGAGTTATTTTTAAGTCTTAGCTGCATAAGAATCTGCTGATAATGAATATGAAAGTTTGTTGTTGTTGTCATGGACTTTCTTTGATCAAGATTAAGTATCTAAAACAGTTCTTTTATTTGACTTCTCATTTATGTGTTCAACTTACTTCTGAGTCAATACTTACAGGGTTCTCTTCAGAAACTGGAATGAACAATTTTTTCATCCATTAACAAATGGCTAGATTACTGAGAGTGCACTTAGAGTTATGAAAACCTGAACTTTTGTGGGTTGTTTTAATTTCTGGGCAATTTTTGATGGTAGACATCTGACATCCTCTTGGCTCATTACTCTGTAATTTGCTTAATCATTTCCGTAAGTTGGCTATTTTGGTTGTTCCTTTTTTTTCTTCTTTAAAAAGTACTTCGATAAACATCTTTGTACTTCATTCAGCATTCAAAGAATTTATTAAATCTGTGAGAATCAATACAGTGAGATGAGATAGTATTGATCTGTGACATAAGAATCCTGCTAGGCATTGGGAACACCAAAGAAAATAAGACAGAGCCCCTGTCCCTAAGTTCACCTTTTGAATTTATCATCATCCCTACTTCTCACCTCTATTCCCAGACTGACTGAGTGGGAGCATGGTTCAACTTGTTGACCAAATCAGAAATGTTGGTAGTAACTTTGGCTTCTCTTCTTTTAGTATCCACAGCGAATAAATCACCTATCATTTTTTTTTAATTTCTCAAATCAGTCAATACATTTCTCTTAATCCTCACTATGAAAATCACATTGGGTCCCCATTTCACAAGAAGATGGCTTTAACAGTTTCCTAACTGGTCTGCCTCTAGTCTTCACCCCCAGATTATTCTTACACTGATGGTGAGCCTTACTGCATATCAGAAAACTTTACAGTTCCTTGAACATCAGAACCCAATGCCTTGTCTGAATTAGTGAAAAAAAACTAAATGAGAAACTGATTCCTTGTGTTGAACAATTTGAACTCCTGTATATGCAAGGCACTGAGCTAGACTTGAACCACAAAAGATAGATACGCACACCCTCTCTCTTTATGGGACTTACCTTCTGGTATAATATAGACAGACTGTTACAGGGGAGAGAATTAATGATTCCAGGGAACTCAGTCTGTCATATCCAGCTCTGCTTCTTCTGTCTGGAACACTGATCCCTTTCCATTCAAAAACCAGTTTGCCCTATTGTTCAAGATTTATTCAAAGGAAGTGTGCATACCAGGAGGTGGGGGATTATTGGGAGCCATTTCAGAGACTACTCTGCAGATACTGGTTTGTTTGTTTGTTTTTCCTTTGTCTTTTGTTTTCTTTTCTTTTCAGCGTAACAGTATTCATTGTTTTTGCACCACACCCAGTGCTCCATGCAGTCCTTGCCCTCTCTAATACCCACCACCTGGTTCCCCCAACCTCCCACCCCCCGCCTCTTCAGAACCTTCAGATTGTTTTTCAGACTCCATAGTCTCTCATGGTTCACCTCCCCTTCTAATTTCCCTCAACTCTTTCTCTTCATCTCCCCTTGTCCTCCATGCTATTTGTTAAGCTCCACAAATAAGTGAATAAACCATATGATAATTGACTCTCTGCTTGACTTATTTCACTCAGCATAATCTCTTCCAGTCCCATCCATGTTGCTACAAAAGTTGGGTATTCATCCTCAACGTGAGACAGGAATCCATCAGAATCCTAGAGGAGAACATAGGCAGTAACCTCTTCGATATCAGCCACAGCAGCTTCTTTCAAGATATGTCTCCAAAGGCAAAGGAAACAAAAGCGAAGATGAACTTTTGGGACTTCATCAAGATCAAAAGCTTCTGCACAGCAAAGGAAACAGTCAACAAAACAAAGAGGCAACCCACGGAATGGGAGAAGATATTTGCAAATGACAGTACAGACAAAAGGCTGATATCCAAGATCTATAAAGAACTCCTCAAATTCAACACACACAAAACAGACAATCATATTAAAAAATGGGCAGAAGATATGAACAGACACTTCTCCAGTGACGACATACAAATGGCTATCAGACACATGAAAAAATGTTCATCATCACTAGCCATCAGGGAGATTCAAATTAAGACCACATTGAGATACCACCTTACACCAGTTGGAATGGCCAAAATTAGCAAGAAAGGAAACAACATGTGTTGAAGAGGATGTGGAGAAAGGGGAACCCTCTTACACTGTTGGTAGGAATGCAAGTTGGTGCAGCCACTTTGGAGAACAGTGTGGAGATTCCCCAAGAAATTAAAAATAGAGCTTCCCTATGAACCTGCAATTGCACTACTGGGTATTTACCCCAAAGATACAGATGTAGGGAAAAGAAGGGCCATCTGTACCCCAATGTTTATAGCAGCAATGGCCATGGTCGCCAAACTATGGAAAGAACCAAGATGCCCTTCAACGGACGAATGGATAAGGAGGATGTGGTCCATATACACTATGGAGTATTATGCCTCCATCAAAAAGGATGAATACCCACCTTTTGTAGCTAATAATGGTTTTAATTGAAGTATAGTTGACATGCAATGCTACATTAGTTCCAGGTGTACAAAGGAGTGATTGAGCAAGGCTGTGCAAGGCTATCTGTTATGCCACGCTCACCACAAGTGTAGGTAACCATCTGTCACCATACAGCACTATTTCAGTACCATTGACTACTTCACTACTACTATTAATATCACCATTTTCCAGGGGAGGCACAGAAAGGCTTCATAATTTGCCCAAGATGACGTGGATGGTGTACATGATGGAGCTGGGATTCAGGCCCAGTTAGTCTAACTGTAGAGCTCGGGATACTGCGCCACACTGTCTCCCTACTCTTAATTCTGTAAAGGAAACCTAAGTTGAGGGGAAGCTGAAGTTACTTGCTCAAGATCACACATAGGCTCCTAACAACGAAAGGATATTCCCTTAGACAGCATAGTCTAATGGTTCCTAAGCCTGGCCGACTCAAACTCTGGAACATTATTTTAATTGCTTACAATTTTTTAATAGGTTTATCCACATACAGCAAAAAACAAGCTTCTACTGTAAGAGGCAAGAGTATTATAATCTTAATTGAATTTAGCGTTTCTTATAATGTACAGTAGTCTTATTTTCTAGGATTTCTATAATAGCATTGATTTCATATACTTGTTTTCCATTGAATGAAGAAAATTTCAAATGTATAAAAAAGTTACTTGGTTCTTTTAAGGATATTCAAAAGGATAATCAGCATTTAATTATTTAAAATTTTTTTGACTGAGCCTTATATCTTAATTTTTTATTAGAAAAATTATGACAGGGGCACCTGGGTGGCTCGGTTGTTAACTATCTGCCTTTGGCTCAGGTCATGACCCCAGGGTCCTGGAATTGAGCCCCACATCAGGCTCCCTGCTCCATGGGAAAGCCTGCCTCTCCCTCTCCCACTCCCCCTACTTGTGTTCCCTCTCTTGCTGTCTCTCTTTCTCGGTCAAAAAAATAAAATCTAAAAAAAAAAAAAAAAAAAAAATTATCAGAAGGTAGCAACAGTTTTGACAAAGTTTTAGTCAAATAATGATTTTTGCTGTGACCCAAAAAAAGGGTTGGGGTAGAAAAAGTAATCCTCTTTCCCACCTACTTGTTCCTATCCCTCATCAACTTTCTGAGACCATCTGTGGAGGCAGCAACTATGATCAGGTTTTTTGTTTGACCTAAGAATGTTCTGTCATATGCAAGCATGTGTGTATATGTGTGTACAAATACACATGAACACAAGTACATACAACTTGGTAACATTTATACATACTATTCTGCTCTCTTTCTTACCTTAACTGTATGTGAGAGATAGTTTTGTACTAGGACTTCTTCTTCTTCTTTTTAATGCTTGTATAGTCCACACTGTGGATTGTCCAGTCCCTCATGACAAACTTGCTGGGGTATTTCCAGTCACTGCTATCATAACGAGGCTTCAGTGACTCTCCGTGTGTGTGTGTGTGTGTGTTTATGAGAAAATAATATACATATATTTATCATATATATCCCATATACTGCTATGTATCCGTAGGACAGATTTCTAGGAGTGACATTGCTAGGTGAAAGGGTATGAGCATTTACAATCTTAATAGATACCGACAAGTTGTCCTTTGTAAGGTTGTTTTCCAATTTAGGCTCCCACCAGCATCGTACAGAAGTGCCAGTTTCTCTATTGCCCTCACTAATACAGAGTCATCAGAATTGATGGTTTCAGTTCATTTTATAGATTAAAAACAATGCCTTAAAAACCAACCGAACAAACAAACAAAAACATAATGCCTCAGTGTTGTTTCAGAAATAACATTTGGAGGGTCTTTTCCAATGCTGAATTTCTATCTACATCGCCTTTTCTATAAATCACCTTTATCCTTTGCCATTTTAAAATTGAAGTCTTTTTCTTTCTTTTGTAAGCATTCTTATATATTTTAACAAAATTAGTTATTTCTCTGTGACATGGTATAAATACTCAACACTTGTTTTGACTGTCAGTGGTTGGAGGGGGTTGCCTTGCATTTTAAATTTTTATATAGTTAAATTTATTGGTCTTTTCTCTCATGTCCTCTAAGGGAGTCCCTTAAAGGAGTAGTAGTCACTTATAAAATATAAGCTCTGGTGGTACATGGTATAGAAATATCATAGGCCTTCAGTGTAGGCATGCCTGAGTTCACATCTCAGCTTGGTCGTTAATTAGCTAGTGGTCTAAGAGGAGTTATTTAACTTCTCTAAATCTGTATTTTTTTCATATACAATGTAGAAAATTTTACCTGGTTCACAGGTTATTGTTTTTGTTTTTCTGATAAGAATTAAGACAACGTCTTTATATATTTTAGGTATTTAATAAAACTGCCTTTTACTATGTGTATAAGGTTTTAAAAACCAATAATGTTATTTCATAGTCAAACTTTCTATTTTACTACCTTATTTTGGTTCCCAGAAACTTAGCAGGAAATTTCTCAGTTGTTAACAAAAGGCGTATTGAAAATAGTAGTAAAAATTATTGACGAATATACATACTCAGTAAATTTGCTAAACTAAAACATTCCCCTCTCCATTTCAGCCACGTGTGAGGGTGTTTATAAAAAGAGTTTGGAATCTCTTATTTTCTAATTTGTGGATTTTTTTGTTCTAAGCAAAAAATTCTTAAACAGAAGCTATTGGTTTTTTTCTCCCAAGTAATAAAATAAGTCAGATTAACTGAAAAGAGAACCTGTTAGTAGATTTCAGAATTATTTGGTTTCTAAGTAGAAAAGGGAACCATTCTAGAGTTGGTTGGGTGCTTGTTTTGCTTTAACCATATTTGGGCCATTACTATAGAATGTTTTTATTTATCCTTTTTTTTTTGTTTGTTACTTTGGAAAGTAGCATAACTTTCGTAAGTGTTAATCATATGTACATGTACTTTTTGTTTATTTCCCTAGAGTGGCTTATCTGCAGTCAAAAAATTTCAGTAAGGCACATATTGCACAGATGGTCAGAAATGCGCCATTTTTGCTGAGTTTTTCAGTGGAAAGATTGGATAACAGATTGGGATTTTTTCAGAAAGAACTTGAACTTAGTGTGAAGAAGGTAAAGAAAACAGGAGAATTTATATTTTTCCATGTATGCTCCATTTAGTAATTTAAATCTCACGTTTCTCACAGATCCCTGGCCCATATGAATTCTATAAATGCCTGGTATTTTTGTATAAGAATGAATTACCCTACTAGGTTAAATATATAACTGTATCATTTTATAATATTCCATCAAGTTAGTGCCTTAAGTTTTGTTTTCAGTATTTGTTTTTTTCCTCAGTTTTAAGTTTATGTATTTTCAGGGTTCCTGAATTCCTGAATTCTTTCTGAATTGCTCATATTTTGAGTTTTAGATTTGTGTTCCTAATAATGGCTTGTTTTCCCAAACTAGTTGAATGTGCATGTATAGTAATAATAGGGTTTTTTTTTTTAAATAACTATAGACTAGAGACCTGGTAGTTCGTCTCCCAAGGCTACTAACTGGAAGTCTGGAACCCGTGAAAGAAAACATGAAGGTAGGTCACCTTTAAGATTTTCAGAAATCAGCTTCTTTCTTTAAGTGCTTAAGAGGATAGATTTTGCTACTGTCTTCTTAAAGAACACTAGATTGTGAAAGAAGTTATTTCTGGAAAGATGGACCTAGGAAATAAATATCAAGCAAGCAGTTTATTTTAGTTAGTATGTTCACGTGTTGAGCAGGTGTTAGGTGCGGAAATCGCCTTGTAGACACTGATACCAATAATCCTGGAGTAATGCATTAGGTATCTGGGCAATGTCTAGGAACCGCGTCTGTTACCCAGTGTGAGATCCCGGCTTTATGTCACCTCGGTGGGAGAGGAGATTTAGAGGCTGGATCCAGAAGACCTGCAAAGAGACTAGTGGCCAGCACATTGCTCTCCTTAGAACTGTGCCCACTGCCCGCTCTAGTTCCCTCACAGGATGTACCAGACACTTGTTACTGTCCTTCCTCCAAGATAATAGTATAAAGCCAAAGGCAGCTGACTAGTTAGTATACAAAGCTGTAGTGGTATTTGAAATTATGATAGAAGGCCTGTTTTTCTGAGGTGCTTGAAGTATTTCATGTCCAGTTGTTAAAGTTTTTGTTGAGCATCTGGCTCTGCACTGTGCTCTCATGGGTCTTATCATTCAGCAGGGGCATAGCGTGCGGAGTGGTGAGAGCAGTGGATTGGTAGGGGAGCAGAGGACCTAACTACACATTTGGGTGTTTAGTTTTACCATCTCTGTCTGGAATTTTGACACGTTTTTCCAGATAACATGTATGTGAGTGTTTGGGGAGCAGAGGCTCAAAAAACACGCTGACAGTCTTAACGGCTGGTCTGTGGTATAGGGCCCATACAGATAGCCCGACCAGGCCTTCCACGTCTACCATCATTCTGTTTCATCGTTATGATAGTTCCTTTTGGTGATCTTCATGATGATCACCATGCTATGAGAGTTCATCTCAGGAGAGGGGCTTGAAATTCAGCTTACCCCAGAAGCACTGGGGTGCCCATTGGGGGCACTGGCATAGTTCTCTCCAAATTTTAAAGTCCTCATTCCAGTTTTGAAAGAGTCAGTGTGTTCTCTGGCATATTACCAAAATAACTGTTTCCATTTGTGATTCAAGTAACTCTACTTTCTTGTAGGTTTATCGTCTTGAACTAGGTTTTAAACGTAATGAAATCCAACATATGATCACCAAAGTCCCAAAGATGTTGACTGCAAATAAAAGGAAACTGACTGAGACTTTTGACTATGTGCACAATGTGATGAGCATTCCCCACCACCTCATTGTCAGGTTCCCACAGGTAACAGGTGCATGGTTCTCTCTGGGATCTCTCATTGCCCTTCATCCAGAACTGCTCTCTGTGGGCATCATGCTGTTCCACTGAGAAAATGACTTGCTATTTGGGAAGGAACTGGACCAAATATAGTCTGGTTCTGAGGCTGACAGTTGTAGTAAGGTTGTATTTCTTTTGCCCATCTTTTAAATCAGAACACATCTAGCAGAAGAAGTTGAGGGATCACTTGTGAAAAGTTCACAACTTCTAGGGCACGTGTACATCTCCGTCGGAGACACAAATGACGAGTCTGTTGCCCGATAGTTGTTACCTACTGCTCATCCTGCCTATTGGAATGTAACATATTCCCAATTGTGTTTTTCTCCGTTTAAATTTGAAATACATCACTTCCCTTAAAGGTCCTTTCAATTCTATTTGTACTTTTTATTCACAGTCTATATATATGCCAGTCTATCTATATCCATTAGTTAGGGCTTCCTGGGTAGCTCAGTTGGTTAGTGTCCGACTCTTGGTTTTTGGCTCAAGTCATCATCTCATGAGTCCTGAGAGTGAGCCCCACTGGGCTCTGCAGTCAGCAGGGAGTTTGCTTGGGATTCTCTCCTCCTGTTCCCCGCCCCCCCTATCACAGTCCTCTCACTGTCTCTCAAATGAATAAATCTTTTAAAATAAATAAATAAAACAACGAGTTAATGAGCCATATTGTAATGATCTCCTACAAAGGCATGAAACAGTTCGTTTGCCACTGTGCCAAGCCACATTTATATTTTACAAGCTTATCAGACTTTGCTGTTCTTTAGCAAGTGACATTATCTGCTTGTTCACAATATGTTAATTCTTTGAAAGCAGAGATCCTGCCTGATTTATACACTGCTGGATTTTCAGTGCCTAGAACTATACTGGGATATTTAGTAGATATTTGCTGAACAAATGATTGCATTTCATCAGTCATCCTTTCTTTCCTGTTTGCCATGTGAATAGACATTCCATATTTATATTCATATACTGGATAAATGAAAGATTGAATTTCATTAGAGTGATCCCCCTACTCTGTTTGCTACATGTGTTCTTGATACATAGATAGGCAAAAGAAATACGACTTTAATATGACTCAGAACTAGATTGAATTTGGTACAGTTCCTTCATAAATAGCAATGTTTATTTACCTATCTTACTTCACTATGAATAGGCCCTTAATAGAGAGTTTTTCTGTTTCATTAAATGTGTATGTATTCATTATTAAAAGTGCAGTGGTACAGATGTGGCTTTTTGGAACAATTGTAAAGTAAGTGGCCTTCAACTAAAAAGCAGTAATAATTAGTGTTCCCCTGGGCTGTTAGATAATTTAGTGACAGAGCATGATAAAATAATCTGGTTTGGGGATACAAAAATCAATCAGACATGGTCTGTATTCTTGTGGAATTTGTAATCTAGTGTGGGAGACAAGTTTCTTAACCTAGACTTAGATTAAGTCTTAACCTTATAGAGCTTATTAATTTAATTTAGAAGAGGTAGGAAAAAATCATAGAAATAATGGAAGCTACTAAGTGATCACTGTGTACTAGCTCTGCCTTTACTGCTTTACTTGTATTAATTCATTTAATCCTCACAACCACCATATGAGATGGGTACTATTATTATCCTGATTTTACAAGTGAAGAAAACATAAAAGGATTGTCCAAAGTTACCCAGGTAACAAGAGACAAAGCCAAGATTAGAACTCTTGTCAGTTGAGTTTAAAAATCCATGCTCTTAACGAGGATATGCTACCACTCTAAGAACCAACATTTGAGTGGTCAGTAGAATGAGTAGGGTCTCAAAGATGGACAGAAACTTTTTAAACAGAAGAAACTATAAACTTGACCAGATGGATCAAAATCATTTCTTTAAAAAACACAGACTCTTAGGCACCCCAAACCCTAGCTTCTGGAAAGCCCAATTATAGAACTGTGACTTCCTTATTGGGATTCTCAGACTTGGAGGGGTCTGGCTAATACTATTTAAAAAAAACAATAACAACTAATGGAAAAATACATTAACTGACAGGACTGTGGGGCAACTGATAGACTTTAAATTTTTGGCTGGTGCTTCAAAAACTTAGTGGTATGGAATGAATTTTCTCTTGCAAATAAAAATTCTGGTTGGCCTGTTTCTGACTCCTTTTTAAAGTTGCTGCCACTCATGCTACCCTTAGGAGTTTTAACCCCAAGATGGGTTGCTCCCCTAGTTGCTCCCCTAGGGGCCTCCTGCCCTGATTCATTTCATTCTGAAATGAATGTCAGAGGGAGCAGGTGGGAATTTTACCAAAATAAGGAAGCTTCACAGATTGTGAAATCTTGCAAACTTTTTGGTGCCAATAGACCTTGATTTCTAACTTTGGTTCTCAAACTCAGCAGTCATTAGAATCACCTGGAGAACCTGTGGACCCCATTCATAATTTCTGATTAAGTATTTTGGGGGCAGGGCCTGAGGATTTGCTATCTTAACTTCTCCTCCATCTGGATTAGCCAATGTTCTTTGCCTACAATATAGCCCTTAATTACTTTATAATTGTTCTGTTAGTTCTTTTTAATCATAGTTTCTTAGCAGAAGCTTTATCATAGTTACAGAGCATGTGGTCAATGCTTTATAATTGTTAGCCTAATTACAATTTTTAGCCAAATGAACATTTTAATAGTTCATCTTTCAGTACACAATGTTTTTGTTAAAAACTTTTTTTTTCTTTTTTAGGTATTTAATACAAGGTTGTTTAAAGTCAAAGAAAGGCATTTGTTCCTTACCTATTTAGGAAGAGCACAATATGATCCAGTAAAACCTAACTACATCTCTTTGGACAAGTTAGTGTCTGTACCTGATGAGATATTTTGTGAAGAGATTGCCAAAGCCTCAGTACAAGACTTTGAAAAATTCTTAAAAACTCTTTAGTTTTTGATGATGTTAAGATATAATAATGTAAAATGAATGTATATATGAATGAATGATACATATTTTTAAATAAATGCCTCAGGCCTCCACTGATCCTGGAAAAAATTTCTTAATACTGTGAATTTGGGCACACTTGTGGCAGATCTTTCTAACAAGTTCCTAGTGACTTAATTTTTCTTCAACTTGACCATTTCCTTCCTTCTCAAGGAGGACAAAACAAACAACAGCAAGTGAGAGAAGGAGTCACTTTTCTATGGGTGGGTACACTGTCCTGCTGGTGAGGATGAGGACAGAGGTTTCCCTCTGTAGTTGCAGGCCTTCTAAAGTGGTTTCGTCACAAGACCACTTTATTTGCTTTGAAACCTTACTAGAGTTTTTGGAGCATGCTGTTTTATTATTTACCTAATAGTTACTGTCCATGTAGATCATGCTACAAAATGCATTCCATTTTGGATGATCTGCACTGTATCTTCCTGAGCATAGATACTCAGAGTTACTCAGAGTTGCTCACAGTTGGCTACTGAGAATTGGGAAAAGAGGGGGGGTGGGGGGGGGGGGGGGGTGGGCAGTAGTGTGAAGATAAATAAAGGGCAATGAGATAAAGCAAAAGGTCATAACAAACCTCTGACTTATTGCCAGTATGCAAAAATATACAGCATGAACTGATACAGAATTGTAATCCTGGGCCATTTAGACATGTAATCCTGGGCCAATAATTTAACCTCTGGGTCAGATCCTTATTTGTAAAACAAGGCCTTGTGACTTCAGCTATCCGCCTTGGGATCACAAGCTTGGGTGGGTAGTTAACAGTGGTGGCTTCCAGTGAACCACCCCAGTGTTTGTACTCCTTTTCCCCTCCACACTGGCTCTGGGCCAATGGGATCTGGTCCCTGAAACATCAAGTAGAGGCTAGATACGTTCTTGCACATTGGGACTTGTCCTCTTGAAACATTTGCTGTCAGAACCCTGAGCCACTAGGTAAAGAGGTCAGGTAACCCTCGGAGAAATGAGGTGGAGAGAAAGAGGTGCCTGGCCAGACCTCAGCTATTCCAGCCATCCCAACGGAGCCCCAGACAGGTGGGGGAAGAAGCTACCTTAGACATTTCAGCCTTAGCAGATAAAACATGGAGCAGAGCTATCCAGCTGAATTCAGAATTGGGATAAAAAAAGTGTTTTAAAACACTAACCGGGAGTAGTTTGTTGTACACTGGGGTTCTGTGGTGTGCTGTAGGTTGGGAAGGCTCATAAACTGAATCTGTAATTGATCAGGTTCTTCCTGTTAAGGTATTTTATTCATTTGCCCGACAGACATTTGAGTTCCTAAAATGCAGTGGTGAGTGTGGCATAGATATGGGCCTTCATAGAGTTCTCTAATGGATGAGATCAATACACAGGAAACAAGATTCAGCTAAAAAAGCATGGAACCATCCCAACTGGTCTTTTTATGGCTCCAAACCTCATTTTGCCTGTATTAACAAATCACTTATATCAGCCAGAATAGGCTATCATGAACAGTTCTAAAACCTTAAGTGGTTTTCTAAAGATTGTATTCATTTAGAGAGAGAGCGAGCACGAATGCTGGTGGGGATGGGCAGAGAGATAAGGAGAAGCAGACTCTCCACTGGCCAGTGAGCCTGGTGCGGGATTCCATCCCAGGACTCTGAGATCATGACCTGAGCCCATGGCAGATGCTTAAGCGACTGAGCCACCCAGGAGCCCCAAACCATTAAGTGGTTTAAAACTACAGTTTTTTTGTTGTTGTTGTTTTGCTTGTTTTTTTAATCTCATACATGTCTTACTTGGCACCAAAAAAGCTCTGCTCCATATCATCTTTGGTGATAAAGGTTGACAGAGCCTCTACTGTGTCAAGTGTAGCCAGTCTATGAAAGGGAAAGGAATGAGAATTGCTCTTAAAAACTAATCACATTTTTCTTCGCTAAACCGTCACATGACCATGCCTGCCTTAAGGCAGCAGAGAAATGCAATCCTACCCATGTGCCCAGAGGGAAATAAAATAGAATTTTGGACCAAACTTAAAGACTGCCAGCAAACATCTAGGAGCTGTAGGCTCAATACCACTAGGAATTGGAATTTGGGACAGTCTTGGGCATCTGATCTCTTGACAAGGTCTTCCCTCTCTTACCACCTTCACTGTGTAACCAGCAAGCTGAAACTTAAGGGTAACGAGTAAATAAGAGTTTACTGAGTACTTCTTGAAAAGCAATGTGCCAGTGTTTAAATGTATCACACTTCACATCTTTCAGACTTCACTTTGGCTAGTGTAGTCTGGGAGCAGACATTCATCAGTTTTTCGTGCTGCACACAGAACTGGGTAATGTGAGAATCTGGTGGCACAAAGAAGAAAAAAGGGGAAGGCAACAAAAGTTTAGACCTGGAATGTGACTAAGACCACTGAATCTAACCTTCTGAATTTACCACGAGATGGAGTTCTATATGGTCCCAGTTCTTTGCTTAAGCCTGAAGAAAACAAAAGTAGGTATCTGTAGGTACTTGTTATGGATTGCATTGTGTCTCTCCAGAAGTCTTGTTGAAACCCTAACCCCCCCCATGTGATGGCATTTAGAGATAGGGCCCTCATAATGCGAATACTGTTCTTGTAAGACACAAAAGAGCCTGCTGTGTCTTTGCCATGTGAAGACACAGTGAGAAGGCAGCCCTCTAAAATACACAGGAAAAGCTATCACCTGAAAGTGCCCATTCTTGCACCTGATCTAGGGATTCCAGCTTCCAGAACAGTGAGAAATACATTTTGTTTTTCAAACTATCCAGTCTGTAGTGTTTTGTTATGGCAATTCAAGCTGACCATGACAGTAATGGTGGTAGGTCACTAGGAACTGAATGAGTCAGTCACACTATAATCGTTTCTGTCCCTAGAGACTTAACATGTTGGGGCAGAAACCGTAAGAGTATACTTTCATCTTAAAATCACAAATTCTGCTATAAATCTTGGATTTAGTATTAAAAAAACTTTTTTTTGTTGTTGTTGTTGTTCTGACCTAAACTTCCACTAAAATGGCTTGGTGTGGCCAAGCTGGAAAATGGAAGGCCAGAGAGGGTTAGTGTCTCCTGGATTAGTAGTGTGCTATATGGCCCTAGGATTAAGGAGTCCCAAAGTTTTACCCGGATCCTCTGATATTAGAAGATAAATCTGGATTCTTCATAGCTGTGTAGCCTTTGACAATTCAACTTTTCTGTTTCCTCTCTACAATGGGGATAATCCCAGTACTTACCTCATGGATTTAGAACTAAATGAGAACATTAAAATGAGAATACAAAGTAAAAGGTTTAGCGCGTTGCTTGGCACAAAGGGCGCAATAAATACTCCTTAAATTCTCACAGCTCATCCAACACGGGACCCAGTCTGAAGCCCCTTATTCCTTGCCTAATATTCTTCCCATCAGGTCACATGAAACGTTTTATGGAACGGGGCGCGCAAGATACCAACCCGACTACACTGCATGAACCAAGCGGAAAAAACGGCGGCCGCAGATGCCCCAACTCCGCTGCCAGAAACTGCGCCTGCGCGGGCGTCCTTCCTCGCCAGGCGACGCGCCGTGAGGCGCCTGCGCATTGGGCCTAGAGCGTCCTCCAGGACTTACCCAGCAGGCAACGCGGCAGTCTCGGGTCAAAATGGCGAGCAGGCCTGCCGGTAAGTTACGGGTGACCTCTCAGACAGGCATTGCCATACTCAGCCTTTTCTTCTTGCAGCAATTTGCTCCGCTTCCTCTGTCCTAAGTGGCTAGGTGGCGATGTCAGGGAAGGTGGAGGCTGCGCTCCAGCCTAAAGGGCGCTTTTCCCCCAACCCTCTTACTTTCCCCAGGCCGGGCTCACTTGAAGGGTTGAAGGTGGATCTACCGTCGGTGAAGGTGCCCGCGGTGGCTCCGATAGCCCTGCCATTCCAACTGCCCGTACGCGGCAGGCCTTCCCTCGGCCTTGAAATGTTCAGGGGGCAGAAAGAGATAATTAGTGCATGACTTTCAACTAAAACCGAGTGCTTGCCGTGAGTCAAGCCCTGTCGTGTGCGATCACTTCTGCCAGTGTGACGACGGAGATAATGGTTTGCCTCTTAACGCTGGTCTGGTAGCCGAGGGGGAAATGACTGGAGGAAATAGGTCTGCAAACTTCCTTTCACCCCTCGCGCTTCTCGAACGGCATTCGGGACAGCTGAACCAGGGTTCCTGCGAAGCTTCAGATTAATGTAGGCTTGTCTGGAACGTCAGCTCCGTCTGCAGATTTGGAGAAGTTTGTATTTACTGTAGGCACTAAAACAAACATACCTACTCTCCAATAGAATATACAGATTACCGGAATATTTAAAACAGAGCGTGAACACCAAGGATTTTCCCTCCTCCGCACCTTTTTTGCAGGTCTCTGCCCTCTGGAGGTATAAATTGGAGTAACCTTTAAATGCTCTTGGTCCCTTTCTCCTCGCTTTCAGCAATATGAAGCTATTAGGAAAGAGCAGATTGCCGGAAAAATCCATTACTCTAAATGACATTGAACTTTTTTGGGGGTGGGGGGGCATTTAAGAATTCATTGTTTCATTAACTTGACAAATACAGAGGGCACTGTGCTCTGTCCTGTGTTTGAGAACTAGATAGACCTGGTCTCAACCCTATCTATCACTGGAAGTCTCTGATCTTGGATAAAATAAGTTCCCTAAACATTACTCTTCTGGTAGGACAGGCGTGTTGTAAATAAACCGAGCTAATGTGGATAAAGCAGATAAGATAGTGTCTAGCTCACTAGTGTTAAATGAATATTAATCATCACTGTCAATGACGAATATATATACAGATCATTTGTTTTCTACAAATACGGTTTTAGGTTGTTGACTTTGGTACTTGTTTTTCTAGAAGCAGTCTTTTACATGGTGCTTCATTTTTAAGGAGCTTTGCCAAAGCTGTGTAATCTGTGATACACTAAGGAGAACGGATGAGGAGGGGTTGGAATAAAAGAGTTTGCTCTTGGTGCTCAGCCAAAATTTTAAAAAGAAAATTTAAATTTGCTCTATCTCCCCTTCTTAACAACACCTGTCCTATGAACATTAGGCACTTTCATGTTGCCCTTAACTTCTGCTGAGT